TATACACATGTAACCATAAGTGGGCGTGGCTACGCCCATTTTCAAAAAAATGTTAATATTCTTATTTTTCGTCTAAAATTTATTATAAATATCAATTTTGAGTGAATTATCTTCAGTAGTTACTAAAATATCGCAGTTTTTNGTATTTCTGAAAATTACCGTTATATGGGAGTAGGCGTGGTTATTGTACGATTTTGCCCATTTTCAATACCATCCGTCCTACGCCCGAAAGAAGTACACGTACCAAGTTTCGTTAAGATATCTTAATTTTTACTCGAGTTATCGTGTGCACAGACGGACGGACAGACGGACGGACGGGCGGACGGACAGACAGTCACCGCTTAATCGATTTCTCTTTTCATTCTGATCATTTATATATATATTTGTCTATATCTATCTCGATTCGTTTTGCCTGTTACAAACAACCGTTATGTGAACAAAGTTATAATACCCTTGTGCACAAGTGCGCTCGGGTATAAAAAAGTAATAAAAGCTCTCAAAAAACCAAAATCGCTACAGCTAAAAGTGTTTGAAAAACCGCATAAATTCAAATCCGCATAAAAAAGAACCGCATAAAAAGAGACCTAAGTGTATAAGTTGAAATTTTGTAAGAAATTATTGAACATTAAAAACATTATACCTACATAGATATGTATGCACATATGTGCCTACCTAGTAGATAAAACTGGTCCAAATAGCACGAATCTATTCTTCTGTGCATGAGAATATATACAAACATATGTGTATATACATGTGTATGTATATACATATCTGCATGCGTGCATACAATCCTTTACTCGAAATTCTTGGTTGCTGCAATTTTTATCCCATACATTTTTGCCGACCAAACAACGCGTTTGCCTGTCTAATCTGCTTGCCTCATTTGCCTCGCTCGTTTACTCGCCTCGCTCGTCTGCTGCTGCAAATGAGTGCCTCGCTCGCAACGAGGCCCTCACGAGGGCAGAGCTAATGAGGCCCTCGTTTGCTTGCCGCTCTACTCTTGCGCTGCCCTCGTTTGCTTACTCGCTCGCTGGCTGCTCAGCGCGTGCGCTCGTACTTAACGAGTGCTCATTTGCAAACAGCCTCGCGTGTTGCTCGTGTGTTGCGCTAGCTCAGAGCAAACTAACGAGCGAGCGAGGGGCTAAAATGAGGCAAATCCGAACCCTGTATAAAACTGTATACTCAAAAAACACTTCTGGGAAAAAAGTTTAAAATTATGATGCATTTTTTTTAAATGTTTTACAAAATTTTAACATAGGTTTGTATGGTATTTGTTAGGGAATTAAATGTATTTTAATGGATTGAAAAAATTTAAAAATTAATAAATAAACATAAGTGGCAAACAATATCATTTTGAATTTGGTGTAAAATGACATGTCCAACTTTGACTTTTTAAACAATTTAATTCTTGTAAAAATGACTTACCCTTGCACTAAATATTTTTTTAATGAAGGTTTTCTTTACTTGTTTATGTATTTAAATAATGCTACGATTTTGGTTATAAACTACGTATGCTTCATTCAATGTTGTTATTCAAGTATTTGTGTAAGTTAACAAGAAGATGTAACTACATTAGTAATTATGTTCGCTTAAGTACCCGCATTGAGGTACTTAAGCGGGCTCTTTTAAGTACCCAACCCGCCTAAGTACCTCAAAAAGCAGACATTTTTCGTGAGGTACTTAAGCGGGTTTTACTGTAAATATAGAACTGAAAATCTGAAATATATATACATACATGTATCAAATAAAACACTTCTTTGCGGTAAAATTTTCGAGTGACGAAAGCTGAACTAGAAACACAAAATTGATGATATCAATTTCGTGACGTAAATTATACGCATTTTTTAACTGCGTGGGAAACGTACGGGAAATCTTTTTTTATTCATACGAATTGTTGCAAAAGTTCTGTTTTTTATTTGGTGTTTCTATCAGTAGACGAAATTTCGCAACCTTCCGAATAAATAACAAGTAAGAAAGTTTAAGTTCGGGCGGAGCCGAACATTAAATGCCCGGGGCAAGTATTAAATATATGATTTTCACCTTTCCGAAAGGTACCGCTACATGGTAAGCTGAAATGTATAAATTTTTAGTAAATTAGCGTCCTTACATTTCGAAATGTTGAAGTTTCAAGCATTTCAATTTTAATCCGATTTCAATAATTTTCAACGTTTTGCTGTTATGTGACAAGCACAATAACCATACCGAGTTTGGTACAAATTGGTAGAACGGTTACCCATTTTCCAAAATTTTATCATAAACGTGTTTCTTGGTAAAGAATGGTTGCAAGCATAAATTTTTAATAAATTAGCTTTCATATTTACTGATTTATCGAAGTTTGCGTATTTCTCCAAATTACCGTTATATGGGATGTGGGCGTGGTTATTGTCCGATTTTGCCCATTTTCAATACCATCCATCCTACGCCCGAAAGAAGTACACGTACCAAGTTTCGTTAAGATATCTCAATTTTTACTCGAGTTATCGTGTGTACAGACGGACGGACGGACGGACAGACAATCATCGCTTAATCGATTTATCTTTTCATTCAGATCATATATGTATGTATACATTTGTCTATATCTATCTCAATTCATTTTGCCTGTTTCAAACAACCGTGATGTGAACAAAGTTATAATACCCTTGTGCACAAGTGCGCTCCGATATAAAAAAGATTTTCCGTATGTTTCCAAGGCAGTTAAAAAATGCGTATAATTTTCGTCACGAAATTGATATCATAAATTTTGTGTTCTAGTTCAGCTTTCGTCACTCGAAAATTTTACCTCAAAGAGGTGTTTTATTTGATATCAATTATTTTGGGGTAGCAAATTTAAAATCGACTAAAATACAAACAATAATCTTAATGTTTTATTTTTTTCAAATAAATTGCTAAAATTATTATCTAAATCTAAATTATGTATTCAAATCGATGTGTCCATTGAAACATATTATTTTTCGAATACGGAATAAAGCGAAAAAGAATGATCATATCGTTTGTACTCGAAAGATTTTTTTTGAAAAATGATAAAAACTTATCAACTTGGTACTAACTCGGGATACAATAAACAACTGTATTCGTCTGGTTTTCTCGTAGTTAAATTTTATTAAAATTTCTACCGAGTATGGGGCGCACACCTGTGTTTTTTTAAGAAGTTTTACTTCTATCACGTGATATAACTTGCACTCGTGCTATTAAACTAATGCTTTTTTCTCAAGTAGTTTTGCTCAGTGTCAATTTATACATATGTATGTAAGTAGTAGCGGCACATTGGGTGAACTAAATGCATTCACACATACATATTTATGTACAAACATAAAAGCGCAGTTAGTCAACGATGTAGCGTAAACGTAGGTTGACGTACGTAGCAGCATATAAAATTTACTGGTGATAGAGAGAGAGAGAAGCAACGGCAACGTCACCGCCATGCGGTGGCGAGTTTTCGTTAACACGCGAATCCCATAAGGTAGATCGTGTCTGCGTCAACCTACGTCTACGTTACGTCGTTGACTGTTTGCGCTTTAAGTAATATTGTATGCGTCTTCTAAAGTAGGTTAAGAGCGGGTGATAAACCCATGTAGCATAGTTAAATGCTGTGTACATTACAATTAAAATGAGGAAAAATGTTACAATTTCGGCATGAAAAAAACTCTAAAATACATACAATTTGTGGTTTCCAAGACATGTACGACGTGATTAGCACAGCTGCATCCTTCAACTTGTCAACTCGTGTGGACACTTTCGGGGAACTGGGTATGTTATTTTTATATCTCAAAGTAACTAGATTAGACGAATATGTTAATTTTTAACCATTTGACCCTTTTTGGAGCGAAATTTTTTCAATTTGAATAGCAATATCTCCACAACAAGAGTTTTTCCAGATATAAGCTATATACCAGATGAAAGCTAAGGTTTTGGGCTAGGCTTGCGGAAACTTATAATAAAATCGACTGACCAGTTTTTGAGAAAATTCCCGAAATCTCTATTTTCAGCAGCCCGACTTTTAGTTTTCAGGCGATAACGTTATGACATATTTATATTTTATAAACGCAAAATACAGCGTTGGATAGCTTGTTTTAAGACTCTTCAATTGATATCCACTTCAATGGTATGGAATGAGTAGTGCGACCTCACTGATAGTTTAAAATATTGCCTTTTTTCGAATTTCAGGCAACAGCCACACCCACAAAGGCATAAGAATCCAGACATCCTGGAACAAAACTTTCTTAGTTTTTTTTGTACTATAATTCCTGAAAGTTTGAAAAAAATTAAATGAAGGTACGTACAGACGCCACATACATTCCAAAGCATCTCGTAGTAGAGACACGAACCAAAACACATTTACCTCTATATCTTTCCAACTAGTAGCCGTAAAAATGTGTTCGCACGAGGCGATTTTGCGTTCAACTTTTGCTTTCAACTCACGCAGGGTTGCACGAAAAAAAAGTTGAATGGCTAAATGTTGCCTGGCGCTTTGTTGAAAGCGATTAGTTGAAAGGCCGTTCAACCAAAAAGAGAATGCAAAGTTGAACAATGCGAACGTCTTTTTATGGCAAATATTTTGATATTTTTTTATATTTTGATATTTTTAGCCATTCAATTTTTTTTCGTGCAACCCTGCGTGAGTTGAACGCAAAAGTTGCCTAAAAATCGCCTCGTGCGAAAGCCCTATAACTCAACATATAAGGTATCTTTTGAAAGGTATTGGCCTTTAGAATAACACTAAATATGTTGGGTGTACCCACACCTCAAACATGTCGATCGGACGTCTGGATAAATACTTCCAAATATCGTGTATATATAAGCGAGTCATTTCAGCATGCTACTGTGGCTAGGGATGCAAACGATGCATCGATGGTTTTGAAACATCGATAATATCGGTTCAATTTTCGATGTTTGCCATCGATGTTTACAATTTATTAACATCGCGAAATTGACGATACATCGATGGAAGTTTTACCGATGTTTTAAACATGGACTTTAAGGAGACTCTCCTACTTTCTTTCGGTATGTTTGACTGACCTTAAATTTATTATTCATTCAGAATTTTTTTGTTATTTATGGCCTTATAACAATTATATTCAACAATTTTATTGAGCTTGGAAAAAGTTATTGAAAATCAACAATAATTTACAAAAGGTAGAAGTTATAGCTGCTATTTCGGAGACCACCACATCTCCTCAGTGACCGCGGTTGAAGACGTCTGATTAGTAGATGTGGTGATCTCCNGTAATAAGTTATAGCTGCTATTTCGGAGACCACCACATCTCCTCAGTGACCGCGGTTGAAGACGTCTGATTAGTAGATGTGGTGATCTCCCAAATAGCAGCTAAACCTTCTTAACTTTGTAAATTATTGTTGCTTTTCCACAACATTTTTCATAAAAAACGGCCCCAAACTCAATAAAATTGTTGGATTCATTCTGAATGCTAATAACCTAGCCGTTAAAACAGAACCGAACACCCCTTGAAATTTCAACAAATTCAGGCCTAGGATCTTTAGGCCCCAACGAACTTACGACAGTATGCATTTTGATTCTAATAATAGAAAGGGTATAGAAAGGATAATAAAATACAGGAAAATACATTCATAACACTGTGAGACAAATGGTAGGGGTCAGTGATCGGGAAGGGTTCAAACTACCGGGGAAAGTTATATCGGTAAAAAAGAAGTTATACATGTCCCGGCGTTTCGCTGGGTCACGTCTAGGAATCGAGATATATCGATTTGACGTTAGTAACTATCATATAGGGGAAATTGTCACCTTTGGTGGTATTTTTTTTGACATAACTCGAGAACCACTAGTCCGATTTTGCTCAAACAAATTTAAAAAAATTAAAAATTACAATTCCTTTAATCTGTTCATATAACGTTTTTCTATATAATCAACAGTTTTGCCGGTAAAAATAAATGTATGAAGAAAAAAAATATTTTTTGCCTAAAATATTAAATTTTTTTATTTTTTAAAAATTAAAAAATCCAAAACGGAAAAAAAGGCAAGTCGTATTACTTTCACGCAAAGTCGCATAATAACCTTTAAGCAAAATGAGACATAGGTCATGAAAATCGATGGAAGCGTTTCGCTTTTATTCACAATTAAGTGAAGGAATCTCATTTTGACAAGAATATTGATTTTATGTTTCCAAGGAATTTTGAGCATATCTCGAGCAAATTTTCGAAATTCATAGGTTATGTGACTTTACGTGACACTTTTTTCCGTTTTGGCTTTTTTAGACGTGTTTTTGACCGATATAACATTTCCCGTTGGTTTCATCCCATCCCGATTTTGACTGTCGCATAGTGTAATTATTAAAGTATTCAATATTGCTTTAAAAGTAACTAGAAATTAACAAATTGCAAAACATCGGAAACCCTCGATATATCGATGTTCCTCTGGCGATGTATTTTAGCCTCGATGTTCTTTTCTCCGATGCATCGAAACATCGATGTTACTGCTCAAAATTTGCATCCCTAACTGTGGCTGCATTCGTCACTCGCGCGCACTGCCGTACGCTGTGATATATCTAATATCAAATAAAACACCTCTTTGAGGTAAAATTTTCGAGTGACGAAAGCTGAACTAGAAACACAAAATTTATGGTATCAATTTCGTGACGAAAATTATACGCATTTTTTGACTGCCTTTGAAACTTAGGGAAAATCTTTTTTATTCATACGAATCGTTGCAAAAGTTCTGTTTTTTATTTTGTGTTTCTAGCAGTAGACGGCATTTCGCACCGTTCCGAATAAATAAAAAAAGATTTTCCGTACGTTTCCAAGGCAGTTAAAAAATGCGTATAATTTTCGTCACGAAATTGATTCATAAATTTTGTGTTTCTAGTTCAGCTTTCGTCACTCGAAAATTTTACCTCAAAGAGGTGTTTTATTTGATATCAATTATTTTGGGGGGCAAATTTAAACTCGACGAAAATACAAACAATAATCTTAATGTTTTATTTTTTTCAAATAAATTGCTAAAATTATTATCTAAATCTAAATTATGTATTCAAATCGATGTGTCCATTGAAACATATTATTTTTCGAATACGGAATAAAGCGAAAAAGAATGATCATATCCTTTGTTTTTGAAAAAATTAGAAATAAAAAAAATTATGAGAAATGATAAAAACTTATCAACTTTGGATACAATACACAACTGTATTCGTCTGATTGTCTCGTAGTTTACGAGTATTTTTGTTAAGATTTCTACCGGGTGTGGGGCGCACACATTTGCTTTTTATACCTTTTATGAGCATGAAATGGTATTATAACTTTGGTCCGATATTTGTAAGCAGCAGAATAAGAAGAGATTGACCCATTAAAGTGTATACTTAAATGATCATAACGGCGAGCTGAGTCGATTTAGCCATGTCCGTCTGTCTGTATGTCCGTCTGTCCGTCTGTTTGTATTCAATCTATTTTTTCCCATTTTTCGAGATATCCGGATGAAATTTGGCAGGTGGGTGTATTTTTATAATGTATTAATCATTTGTCCGAACCGGAAGAATCGGACCACTATAACATATAGCTCCCATACAACTGATTGTTCAGATATGAGATTTTGCGTTATAACTTCTCCATTTATGCAGCTATGAACATGAAATTTTGCAGTACTTCCACCCATTACCAACAGAAAACTTAGAGTGAAAGTTACAAAGATCGGGTCACTATAACCTATAGCTCCCATACAACTGATTGTTCAGATATAAGATTTTTCGTTATAACTCCTCCATTTAAATAGCTAGGAACATAAAATTTTGCACTGTTGTGACTCATTATCAAAATAATACTTTCGGTGAAAATGGCGAAGATCGGGTCGCTATAACCTATAGCCTCCATACAACAGATTGTTCAGATATGAGATTTTTTGCCATAACTTCTTCATTTATGAAGCTAGGAACATGAAATTTCGCATTATTTTCACTCATTATTAACAGAAAGTTTACAGGAAAATTAACAAATATCGGGTCACTATAACCTATTTATTGCCTCCATACAACTAATTGTTCAGATATGGGGCTTTACTGTAAAACTCCTTCATTTAGACAGCTAAAACTGATAAATTTCGTAAGCTGTTTTATAAATAATATAAATAAAAATAATACAAAGTCCACTGAGGAAATCGTCAAAATCTATGCTGTATAAGCTTTATCTCTTATATCACTGATTGTTCATATACCAGTTTTTGCGATAGACATATCTCCTTTATTTAGGAAGCTAAACCCATTAAATTGTGTTACCGGTTTACATACCGATCACACAGCAGTAAAAATTCCTTTGATTGGTGCTACATATATAAGGTATATCTCCCATACCTCTGATTATTTAGATATGATTTTTTTATATATCTATCTCTTTTATATATGTATGCTGTGAATATATAAATTTTTTCAAATGAGTAAATTGTTAAAGTAAAATTTTCAGATGCTTATGAAAGGTATGACGCCTTCGGCATAGCCGAAGACAGCGCTGCTCCTACTTGTTTTAAGAAGTTTTCACTTCTATCTCGTGTACGATGTTGCACTCGTGCTATTAAACTAATGCTTTTTTCTCAAGTAGTTTTGCTCAGTGGCAATTTATACATATCGTCGTTTAAAGTTCAAAACCGCGTATCGTCATTCTGCAAAACCGCGTAACTGGCATTAGCTGCCAAAAATTGGATTTGCTCACACAAGCTCTTGGCTCAATCCTTATCCATTCGTCCTGAAATATACTGGCCAGGTATGCGATGGCTTTATAAAAAAGATAACCATTTTGAAATATGAGTGTTTTTACTCTCTAAAAGATTATTTACATAATTCACATACGCGGTTTTGCATTTTGTTGATACGCGGTTTTGTACTTTAAACGACGATATGTATGTAAGTAGTAGCGGCACATTGGGTATCTTATTTTTATATCTTAAAGTAACCAAATTAGACGGCAAATTCTTTAGGCGGCGCGTGAGGAATGACAAAAACGGCAGTGGCGGCGGCGTGGCTCGGCGGCGTATACCTCTATCACACAAACAGTCAGAGCATACGCGTCTTGGCACCCACGTCACTGTTGACAGTTACAAGTTTGAAAAAGTAGACGACTTCGTTTATTTGGGAACCAGCATTAACACCAATAATAATAGTTGCGTTCGGGTAGCTGTTAATTTTTCATGTTTAACCAAAACTTACAAGTTTTTGCGTTCGCGTACGCAAAAAACTTGCAAAGTAGGGGAAACTGAGAAAGCAAAGTGACATTTCATTTTGAGGTGAGCTGCTGGTTTCTGCTGGAAAAATTTTTGCCAACAGC